AGCAAAGCGCATTTCGAAGTCAATGGAACAAGTTACAAGAGGACTAAATCGACAGGCAGTCAGTGTGCCGCCGCGTGGAACTGTCGCAGAAATGAAACAAGTTTGAATTTTTCGTCTCACACGTACACAAGGAAGCAGTTTTTATGTGTTTTTTGCGTCTGTATAATTTAAAAATACGTATTGTGGGGAAATATGCTGTTTTTCTATCTGTATGTGTATTTGTGTGCTTATATGGAGTTTGTTTGTCTGCGTATTTCGATTTTCAGATCTAGAAACTTAGAAGCTGAAATTTTGGGATTACAGGCTTAAAATTAACGGGCGGATTACAAGCGTAATAAATTAACGCCACACCTTTTTTGGCTTTCTTGTACAGGCATGTAAAAAATATTTTGACGGGAAGATGGTTTCAGAAATCAGACAAGCTAAAAATTTTAATTTCACGAGGATATTTCCTGTTTATCTGTTTATCTATGGGCTGACGTACAAAATGGACTTTCTTGTTTCTCCTCTATCTCGTGTACGAACACATACAATTTAATATGGCAGTTTTGTAATTCTGAAGCCAAGCAACTAAAATGCTGAAGTTTTCTGCACATGATTCATTATCTTGCTTGAACACGTGAAATTTGAGACTCATAGTTTCGTAACTCCGCATCCAGACTAGCTAGAGGGCTGAAATTTTGTGTGCTTTTTTTTGACATGTTTGGGAAGTGTTCATGAAAAACATCCCGTGCTATTCCTGCATTTCACCTATTGACACACAGAATCTGAAGCCAGTAATTTCGTAATTTCGCAACCAAAGCATCTGGAATGCTAAAATTTCACCGGCTTGGTTCACGGCAGTCAACTTCCACTTACCAGTATATGAGATGCAAGAGAGCGATAATCCTTTGGATCCTTTGGATTATCGCCCTCTTGCATCTCATATACTAGCAAGTGGAGCTTGACACCGGTAGTTTTGTAACTTAGTTGGTTAAAAAACGCATACTCATACCGATTCTTTTGATGCACACCGTAAAATACTGGAATTGTCGTAAGTAAATACGTGGATTAGATGATGAACACCTGAGATGCAGCTAAATATTTTTGACATCCTGGCTCATGATCACAGGTATCTTGGTAGGTGATCACAGATATTTCAAGTCGCGGAATTTATCTCGGGAATATTATATACATATTTTTTTCGAAATTCAAAACCGTTTCTACATTTCACTTTGTTTGGTCGTCTGGTGCCTTTCGAAGTACAGTGCTGCCAAAACTGTAGTTGGATTTCTCTTCGGAGGCCTGCCTGGAAGCAAGCCGTTCTGTTTATCTGCATATGAAATGATTTATGGAAGGATTGCTTTTCCCCGACTAAAATCAAATCATCAGCTTTTGAACAACTTAGATCTGCCACTGTATTAAGCTTATGAAGCCCCAGAGCGTTAATGTATTCTACTCAATAAAACCTCATTATATGTACAGCCTTCCGATCTCCCTAGTAATTTGCCTCATATAACATTATTTTATTCTTTTAGTAATAGAAAAATATTTTTAAGTTGAAAGAAGACAA